CTGCCTAAAGAGCCAAGTCTTTAAATGACTCTTAAAAACATGCTATTATCTACTGTTATTTTCCTTCACAACTACCAAACCCATCTTTCAGTACAAAATTCAAAGGTAAACACTGCTGATATTCTCTTCATTAACACACATTGTTCCTCTGCTGTCTTCTTTAATCTGCATACAGTTGGTCTTTGAGGTACCACACACACCCCTTCTCCCTCCATCCACTTCCCCCCCCCTTGCCTTGTTTTCTCTTTTCTGGCTCTTATGAGAATGTTTGCAAAATCAGACTTCAAAAGAACTGAGCACCAAGCATAGGTCATAAATTATTGCATGTGTGAAATGCAACTACACACCACTGTATCTTAAAGCCAGGCATGAATGTTTTACTGTGTGAACTTGTATTTTACTTCATATGTCTGAAGAAGTGGAGTTGTCCACGAAAGCTCACAATAAAATAGTCTTTAAGGCGCCACAATGTTTTTACAGTGGGGTCTCGACTTAAGAACTTAATCCGTATTGGAAGGTGGTTCTCAAGTCGAAAAGTTCTTAAGTCGAATCTGCATTTCCCATAGGAATGCATTGTTTTCCCTGTTCGTAACTCGAGGGAAGTTCGCATGTCGAGTCCTTACTTTCCCTATAGGGCAGGTTCGTAACTCGAATTGTTCGCAAGTCGGGTCGTTCGTAAGTCGAGACCCCTCTGTATCTTTTTTTTTTTTAATCATTTTTTCTTTGGGTTTTGCCTGATATGCTTCCACAGACTAACATGGCTACTTCTTCTAAAACACCTCTAGAGAGATTATTAAGTTCACTTGCTACCAGGCTACTCCTTTTTACCTCTTATATTCCATGAACTGCCACCCACACTAACCTGGCTGTTTTCACAAGTCTTCTATGGCCTTACCCCAGAGTAACTTCACTTGAGTGACTGGTCTTTCTTTTTGCCCTTATGGACTTGTCTTGCTTCTGCTGCCTAATATTGCTGTACACTGTATTAATGATTACTTTATAGTTATCATCCTTCTATTACTTGTTTTGTTTTTAGAGCCTGTGTTCCTTGCTTGTTATATATGTCAATTTTTATTGAGTCTTTTGTGTACTTTGTGTTATTCTTATTTGTTTGCTGCCCAGAGTAGCGGCAAAGCCACTAGTTGGGTGGGATAAAAATATAAATAAATAATAAAATTAAAATAACTATTATATCCCAGAAGCATGGCTTTGTAATGCTTAATCAGCCAACTCAAACAAAACCACATGACCAGGAAACACAGAAGGCTGCTATTCATTAGAGATAGGCCTGTCCTATTTAATTGAAAGATCCAACAATTCATTTTCCCTTTTTGATGATTGCTGAAAAATACTGTATTTTTGTTCCATAAGACGCACCCCTCCATAAGACGCACCAAATTTTTAGGAGAAGAAAACAGGAAAATAATAATCTGTTTTCTTCTCCTAAAAATTTGGTGCGTCTTATGGAGGGGTGCGTCTTATGGAACAAAAATACAGTATTTTTCAGCAATCATCAAAAAGGGAAAATGAATTGTTGGATCTTTCAATTAAATAGGACAGGCCTATCTCTAATGAATAGCAGCCTTCTGTGTTTCCTGGTCATGTGGTTTTGTTTGAGTTGGCTGATTAAGCATTACAAAGCCATGCTTCTGGGGTATAATAGTTATTTTAATTTTATTATTTATTTATATTTTTATCCCACCCAACTAGTGGCTTTGCCGCTACTCTGGGCAGCAAACAAATAAGAATAACACAAAGTACACAAAAGACTCAATAAAAATTGACATATATAACAAGCAAGGAACACAGGCTCTAAAAACAAAACAAGTCCCCCGCTGGCCCCGTGGGGGTGGGGGGAGCCTCGTAAGGGTCCTGGAAGGATCACTTGGACCCTTGCGAGGCTCCCCCCACAGGGTCAGTGGGGGCGAAATTGCCAGCTTCTCTCCATAAGATGCACACTTTCCCCCCACTTTTTTGGGGGGAGTGCGTCTTATGGAGCAAAAAATACGGTAACCTGTTAAACACGAATTATTTGTGTTTATAAAAGGATACATCTTTTGTTTGTTTTCCCTTTTTCATGTAACTCTTTATTTCATCCTTTTTCAGTCAAAATTGCCGCATAAATTTTTCATTCAATAGAAATGCAAGCCTGTCAGCAACCAATGAGAAAGTATGGAGAGAGCAGAAATTCTAAATCCATTAAAGGGCCTGGAACTCTGTGAGGAGTGCGCTTTGCTTCAGTCATTCCTTCACTGTGGGATTACTATGTGCTGATCTCCTAATGCCCTCTATCTTGGATGTAGTAATCTTGCATCTTTTACTTGCCTGTTTCTCTTGGTTTTTGGAATGGGGCTGTGTGTTTTCTTGTTGTTTATTTTTGTTTGTTTGTTTTGCTATTTCTTTTTCACTGTGTGTGCAGTGCTTTTCCTGCTTAACTGGTTTTTAAAAAACTATTATTTGATTAATTTACTGCATATTTATTCTCTTAAAGAT